ATAACTGAAATGCCAGGCAATGAGATGCAATATGCGACAGTTTGGCTAAAGCGATGTGTCTTTAATGTAGATTTAACCTGATAGAGTGTGTCTGAGCCCCGAGCATTATCAGCATAGCCATTCCAAAGTTTTGGAGCCAAATACAAAAAAAAGCTGTATCTCCTTTTGTGGGCTTTGATATGTACTGTCAACAGTCCAAACTTTTGTGCCTTAAAGGATTGTAGTGTGATGCAAGATCGGTTAGAAAGGACATCAAATGTTTTCCTTATGTAAATGTTATTTTGTATTAACCCAAATGACTCCTTCAAAGCTGAAATGATCCTTACTATGACTTAGAGTTAGTCATGCTGTGCCTTTTGAGCAGAAGCTGTATGATATAACTTGAATAGATCACATTTAACAGATGGTTCTGATCTGCTCGTGCTATATAAAAATATAATCAAGCTCAGAGCATATAGCTTTGACATATGATCCTCTTAATCAGTTGTTACTAACGATTTTGAGTACATCGAGTACTTATTAACTAAATCTAAATAGTTTCCCTGCTGCACATGAACCTCACGTTAGAGTGGACACTAATGTATCTCTGCAGTTCTGTGAGTAACATTTTGACCTAATAAGCAGATACCAAGCTTTTTACATTTTGGAAATGTATAAAAACTGTTTATAGATTTTTTTTAGAGGATTTGTGTAGAGAAAGGAAGTCTTATTGTTCTGTCAGGACCAATATCGTCAATTAGCATACAGTTTGGATTGGCGGTATGGTTCTGTTCTGGGCAAGAACTCCCTGCGCATCCATGCAGCCTAGCATGGATGAGAGCAGGGAGAGCAGCGATAAATAATTAAGAAATAATTAAATAAAAAATTTGAATTTGGCAACAAAACGTTTCCATTGCTTATGTTTGGTGTATCATAAAATATTATATTATAGGAACTATGAAGACAAAATAACAGATTAATTTGAATCCCAGACATAAAAACTGTCAAATAAATCTGTCAGTTTTCAGCTCTTTGTTTGAATAGGATTTCAATTTTAATTTCAGTTATTACCTTGTCTTTGTTTTGTTTTTTTACAGATAATTTTTCCTGTGGCCTCTTGTATTCTCACAAAATTAAACCTGACGTGCAAAATAATCAATAAAGGTCTTTTTTGAAAGACAAACCAAAACTGTCTTGGTGCTATTTTTATAGAGCAGTCATAATGGAATAAATATTTCCTTTTTTTTTTTCAGATACAGAAGTACTTTGAATTGCAGCCACTGGCCCGAGGAAAGCGATGGATTCTTGCAGGCAGCACAACGAACAACATGGAGACTGTGAAGGAGAGTTTTAGTCAACTCATCAGCCTTTTGGAAGAGAAGGAGGTGCTACCTAGCAGGATATGATTCAATCAAACTTCAAAGTGAAGAGTGGGTTTGAAGTGTTGTTTGCTAAAAGGAATTTTTTGGACTTGTTCGTCATTGTTTTATAACCCACTGGAGACATAGATGCAAATAGCCACATGTTTTGACGAGCTGACCGACATAATCGTTACCCTCAGGGCCACACATATGCTGATTTAGTAGCAGGTGAGCCAAAGTCCTTTAAAGAGATCAGATTTTTACCCCTTATTTGTAAACGTAATAAGCTATTTGATTAGCTAGTGTCCATTGCACTCATCATTCCTTCTTCCATGTAGAGAATGTTAGAATGTTGTCCTAGACTAAATGTGGATGATGTTGTTCATTTTGTTGTTTGAAAAGACGACACACCCATTTACTTGGCACTGCTGGCCAAGCTGTTTTCAGCTTTGAGCTGGAATACAAACTCTATCAATCAGTGTCCGCAACAGCTGCATTTGACAAGTCCCTGTCCGCCAGGCTTAAGCCCTCCAACTGTCTGCGGAGACTCCTCCCCGTCTGCCACCTCACTCCTCGCCCAGCCACGCTCTGCGGCCTAACCCGCTGCTTCCTGCTGGTGTTATCCAAATTCCTCTCCACAAATTTAGATTCCTGACTGCGCACCTCTCTGATGTGTTATTTTGTCTCACGGGAGTCTCCGAGTAGTTTAGGACTCACACATGCTGTGTTTCTGTATATTTATAGTGTTAACTAGGTTGCATTTGTTTGCCCGCATATTGCCACTTGTCTTATTTTTTTAAACAAAAAACAACATATTTGTACTGCCTTTAATTTGATGTGTGGCCATGTACAAGTTAGATGTGTCATGTGATCTTTTGTATACAGTACCCTCGTCCTACAAACCTCAGGGTAACAATTTACTGCAGTACATGTATGCATTTACTATAAGGTTTAATTCATTAACATTAGTTAATGCATTAGGTATCATGAACTACATATTGGACTGTTTTTTTATAGCATTTATTAATTTAGGTGAATGTTAATTTAAACAGATACTATTGTAAATTTATGTTTGCTTATAATAATTGAATCTTAATTTATACAACTTGAAATGTTACAAAATGTGTTGTGTTTGTATGTGGATATTAATATTTTAAATATTAACATTCTTTGTATTATATAAAATTATCATAATACATAAATATTTATTAATAAATGCATTAAAAGTATTGTTCATAGCTATGACATTTATTTTAACCTTATTTTGAAGTACCACCACTTTACAATTCAATCTGAGTGTTGTCATTATTACTGTAAATATCATGATTTTAAGTGATTATTTTGAATTTCATACAAGGCCATGTAAGTGTAAAATACATCTGATATGCTGCTTTAAACCAGTAGTTTTTCAATAGTTCCACCGTCACCCGGCAAAATCAAAGCAACCCAGAAAAATAATCAAAGAGTCCATCATATCATTGCTTCCTCATCTAATCTCTGTCTTGAACACAAA